GCTCGTTATGTGTGTGAAACTTGGTCTCTCACAGTTTATGAGGAACACTGATTGAGAGCATCTGCGAATAGGATTCTCAAAATATTTTGGGTCAAAACAAGAGACTGGAGAACATTACATAATTAGGAGCTTTATCATTTCTAGTCTTCACCAAATATAGATATTACTACAATGATTAATTCAAGAAGAATTAGAAGAGCGGGGTATGTAGCATATATAGAATTGATACAAACTGCATACAGAGTTGTAATCGGATAACATGAAGAGAATATATCTCTCGCAAGACATAAGCGTTGACAAGAAGTCGGTAGAAATCCTTGAATGGGGGATCGGCCCACCTCAAGGCTGCTACCTACACAAACATAGATATCCATACCTTGAGTGGGATTCGAACCCACGATCCCAGCTTTCAGGCGGGCGAAGACAGTGCGGCAACTGCGATCGGCTCTGAATTGATTGGTAGCAAAGAGTTTCGCAAAATTAATATTCTCCTGATTTATTTATAAATGAAATATTGGTTTGTTGTTATTATTTTAGAATATTTCGAGCGTTGCCACATTTTCAGGGCGTTATCATTCCCAGCAGATTTTTTAGTGCCCCAAGAATCAGTCAGTGTTCGCAGAGGCAGCGGTTTTAGCTTTTACACTGAACAACTACTCCTGACGTGCACAACTTATTTTAGCTGTATCAAAAACTTAATCAGCATTTCTTTCTTCCATCCTTTGGCGCTGCAGCCCTAATTTGGGCCTGCCTCCATGAAACTCTCCGTTTCGCTTTGCTTTACTAGATCTTAGACATTCGGTAGGACTCCTTGGTCGGGAGATCAGTCCGTCGCAAGGCCTCTACTTGTACACAAACACATAATACACACAAACATTAAACATCCATGCCCTGAGTGGAATTCGAAACCACGACAGTGCATGGCTTAGACCGCTGGGCTACCGTGACCGGCCTGCATTTCTTAGCTAACTCTAAATTCCTTTATGATGTTAGAATGACAATTTATGTTCAATCAGCATATGTAAAGTAATTCCTTCATAGTGATAGTGTTGGCTATGCCACCGGATCATGGCCGGTAATTGCCGACACTTGTGTTACTCCTATTAAAGTAGTTACACTTTATTGCCATCCTTTGTAAGTTTTTTTTTTTTTTGCTTGGACAGAGCCCCATCTCCTCTCCCACTCGCATGTATCTGAGTGATTACATTCGCCACAAATCCGAAGATGCAGGGAATATATTCCTCTGAAACAGCGCAACTTGGTGTCACAACTGACAAGACTAGCTCAGCAACAGGCCATGGAGGCCCATAGGGTTGAGAGATGTTGAGGTTCCCACATTTTCTATAGACAGTCGGCTCATAGATGGCGGCAAGGTTGTCAGCCCTACGCGCCGGCCGCTATTTACCCCTAAGAATATTCCAAGAATATTCCTGGTACTCATTTCTGTTACAGACTGAGTCGACCCCAGGGCCATAGTGCGGCTGGAAGGATTAGGTCAATTGAAAGAAATCCATTAACCTCATCGGGACTTGAACCCACGACCTTCCGACTTGTAGCATAGAGCCTCAACCAACTACGCTTCCGTTTAATTGACTGTCGATCCGGGATAGCGTAGTCGGTATAGCGACTGGCTACAGACTGGACAGCCGAGGGGTCGGAATTCGAGTCCCAGTCTCGTAAAGAATTTTCACTTCATCACGTCGACCAGACCAGCTCTCCCACCCAACTTCCTATCTAATGGACACCGGGAGCTCTTTCCCCGTGGGTAAAGCGGCCGGGGCATGAAGCTGACCACTCACCTCCATCTAGTGCCGAGATCAAGAAAATATGGATCTGTTCATCCACTCCCCCATTTGCCTTCATGGCGTCCCCAGTAATTAGCTAAGCACAGGGACAACTTTTTTTCCCCTTGGCACTACAGCCCCACTGGGCCTAGGCCTACCTACATGAACTTCTCCGTTCACTTCGGTTTTTCTAGATCTTACACATTCGGTAGGACTCCTTGGGCGGGTGATCAGCTCGTCGCAAGGCCTCTACCTGTACATACACACACAAACTAAACATCCATGCCCTGAGTGGGATTCGAAACCACAATCCCGGTTTCTAAGCAAGCGAAGACAGTACATGTCTTAGACCGCTCGGCTACCGTGACCGGCCCAGGGACAACTTTACTTACTCCTTATTTCGTTCTGCTGCTTATTAATGTAGTTAAGAGGTATAACGGTCCAAGATGCCTCTTATGACGATATGCGAGAGAGGTAAGTAAATTGCGTTTCAGACTCATAGTGACCCCGAGTGGGTCAGCTGATAGAAGCAACACATGCTTTTAGAAGTTGGTTTTATATTTCCCTTCACTGGAAAAACATCTCAGTCCCCTTTCGGTCACACCTTGTATATATTGTTCTCTTGGGTATTGTTTGCTTTCGTCTTTTTCTTTTGATCTTTTAGCCCCTTTTTTATCTCCAATCGTGCTTGAAAATAGTCTTCATCTTCCCCTTCTAGCCGGATGTAATGTGTATTCTACATGATTATATTACTTTATTTTATATTTACATAAACTTCACCGCCGCCTATATTACTAGTGCTGCACTGCGCACGATCGTGTTTCATTTGTTCTCTGGGAAGCCAACGGGTGAAATCAGAGCCCTGCTGTATAAACTGATGCACTGGGAGAAAGAGAGTGGAGCAGGAGCCAAAGTTTTAGAACCAATTAAAAATATCTCATGGAATGAGTGAGACACGTCTTGAAACTGGATCTACCAATGCGAACAGCGATGGGGGTTGCATCAACAGCATTTAGGCGGGTTTACTGCTAATCAAAGGTAAGGGACTGTTGCCCCCCAGAACTTTCGAGATTGCTATGAACTCCAGTTGGAAGTGGGCAGCAGGACCAAAGTATGTGCCTGTTCAGAGCTGCAAACTCCTGCTGGAAATGATACCAGCACTGTGTGAAGTATTATGTTGCAGCCACGTAAAGTGATGGAGTGTCTTCCAGACTTTAACAAGGCTGTTCCATAATACAGCAGTTCTAGCATTGCTCCGATTGGAATAAATATGATTATCTTAGTAACTTTTAGCGATGGAGCCGCGATAGCGTAGTCAGTATAGCGACTGGCTACGGGCTGGACGGCTGAGGGGTTGGGGAGTCCCGATAGGGCCAAGAATTTTCTCCAAACCGTCCATACCGGCTCTGGGGTCTCTTTTTCCGGGGGGTAGGATGACCGGGGCGTGAAGCTGACTACTCACCTCCATGTAGTGCCGAGGTCAAGATAATATGGATCTGTACATCCACTCCCCCATACGCCTTCATGGCGTAATGCTTAGTTAAGTACAGAGCGGCCTCCATAGTCTAGAGGTAACGTTCCCACCTCATGACTCGTGGTACGCGGGTTCAAACCCGGCGGAGGTCGTCGAATTTTTAAGGGCGGAAAAATTCAGGGAACAAGTCCTCCGGGAGGGACTTTAAGCCGTGTGTCCCGTGTCGTAGCTTTACGGCACGTAAAAGAACCTCATATCTCCAAAGGAGGTCACTGAGCCAAATTCAAGAACGTTTCCCGCCCAACAGTAGTCTCTAATGCCTCTGATAGATGGGGGAAGCATTATAGACACCACCAAGCTAGTGAGGCCGAACTCGCTGGCTCGGCGGGACTGATGGTACGCACCAATATCGGTAGGATATAGAGACTGGTAGAATATCATAGAGGGAAGCACAATGGACCAATACTGGTCTAAGTGCATGGGGAAACCCACCCTCTCCAATAACTAACTAACTAACTAACTAGTTAAGTACAGGGACAACTTTACCTTTTAGTAAATTTAGTAACTATATTATCCTGAAATCTGCAATAAGTAAGGCTTTTTTTATCAGACTGCGGCTGATGTCCATTTTAGAGATGAAACAAAATTTTGTTCCCACCTTACGATTGCTGCTAACTAAATAGAACCGTGTAGTCTGGTAGATATTTCCTGGCGCTTCGTAGCAGCATACTGCCGAGCAGGTTGGAGTAGTACTAGACTTATATTCAGAAGGTGTCAGTTCGAATCTTGGCCAGGACAACTGATGTCCATGTTGAGGCTTTCCGCACTCCCTGCAGGCAAATTCCGCGCTAGTGCCGTTTCCTTCCAAGTTCTTTCCAGTTTATTCGTAAATCGCTCTCTCATTTGACGCTATATATAGTCTGAGGTACAGCGACGTAAAATAAACCATAAAAGGGAGCCTGCTAAGAAAACTCCGTGGTTTTAGTCCGCAAACGAACTATACCGAGCGGCCGCTTGTCGGCGAAGTTAGTGCCAACTTTTGCTGATAGGGAATGTCGCGTAGTCAGTGCAACGAATCCCCACGGCCGTTAATTTCGGTTTTCTAGACCGGAGCCACTGTTTCCTTAAAATATCTCCTAAGTAATGCTCACGAGGCTGAGTGGACCCCGTTCCAGACCCACTACTTCTCAGAAAATCTGGTAGCACTGGGAATTGAACCCGGACCTCTGGATCTGTAGCCACGAACTCTGACCACTAGACCACAGAGGCGGTCCAATATTCAGGATGATTAATAAATAACTACCACAATATTCGGCGTCATATTCGAGACGATAGTAGTCTTAGTGGTCAAGAGTCTCGAAGACCTCAGAGCTTACATAAATAAAAGTAAGTAACTGAACGTACTTTCTTAGTGTGTGCCTTTCCACCTCCCTTCCTGCGTATTAGTCCACCCATGCACTAATATTCCAGTTGCCTGTCTGTTCGTGTGTATACCCCGCCGTTCGCTCATCCACGTAGTATAGAGTTCAGAATATGTGGAGCTTTACTCCCGCCCCCTACGCCATATAGCGTGGTTTTGAGCTCAGGAACGACGTTTTTTCTTCTCAAAAATTTAATATGCCTCTTTAGGCTTCTGTGAATATGGTAATAAAGGCATAGCTTCTGAAGAAGACCTGTGTTATATGCAGTTAGTTATGAGTAAAGCTTTACCTTTTGATATGTCTATTGCGTTGTGTCGGCAGATGTGGCGAGTGTCCCCGCGGGCTGCACTGTGTGCGCTTGGTGCCAGAAGGTGGCCAGCAACAAGCAACTCTTCTCCTTGAAGACGCCGACTGGACAAAAGGCGTTTTGTTCCGAGGTGTGCTTCACCCAGTGTCGGCGTGCCAACTTCAAACGGAATAAGACTTGTGACTGGTGCAGACATGTCAGGCACACCGTGAACTACGTGGACTTCCAGGACGGCGAGCACCAGCTGCAGTTCTGCAGGTGCGACAATTTGTAATTCAAAAGAACTGGAGGACAAAGTTTTGTAACATCTCTTCCACACTTTCCAGTATGGCAGTGTAGAAGGGGTGTGTTCAGAATCTTTGCCGTCTTATGGCCTGTCAGAAAACGTAAAGGTTAAAACAGATTGTGGCACTTTACGAACAGTACTGACAATAATGTGTGGATGTAAAGGGAGGAAGAAATTACTGGGCGAAGAATAATACATAATGAGGATCTTAATAATTTATAAAGTTTTCCAAATTTTGAGGTTGATCAGAACAGGAGGTTTATATTGGCAGGGCTTGTAGTACAAATTGAAGAGATGAAAATGTATACAAAATTCTAGTGGGGGAAAACATGAAGGAGAGAACCGCTTTGGAGACCTGAGCGTAATTGCGAGGATAATATTAAAATGGATAGTAAACAAATATTTTTTGAGGGTATGGACTGGATACACCAGCTGCACTATAAGGTTCTAGTAGCGAACGTTGTACACAGTAAATATATTATTATAGTTTTTCGAACATGTATGTACGATGTATGTTTCAAGATATTGCTTTAAAGTTTTTCTCTAAAATTATTATATATAGTGTGGATTTTTATATTCTAAAATAGAACGACTTCTGTGTGGGGCACGCGGTAGCGTAGTTGGTTGAGGCACTATGCTACAAGCAGGAAGGTCGCAGGTTCAAGACCCTATGAGGTCATTGGATTTTTTCAATTGACCAAATCCTTCCAGCCGCACTATGGCCCTGGGGTCGACTCAGCCTCTAAGAGAAATGAGTACCAGGAATGAATTAAATAATTTTCCTGGGGAGTAAAGCGCGGCCGGCTCGTAAGGCTGATAACCTTACCGCCATCTTTGTGCCGATTGTGTAGATAATGTGGGAGCCTCAACGTCTCACAACCCTATGGGCCTTCACGGCCTGTTACAGGGATAGCTTTATTTTACTTTTTACTGGGCATACATAAAATAAAACTCTGCAATTGTATTGCATATAGATGGTATACTCAGGAGCCGTCATCACAACAGTTAATTAAAATGTTTAATATTCGGGTTATTTTATTTTCATCCCACTACAGGTTAAAAGTTAAATGAAATTAAAGTGGAATTCTAATTTTTGTATATTTGAAATGGGGAGGTTAGGGTACCGGTTATTAGGTAGTATAGACGGACTCCGTGGGTTTTGATGTTAATTAGGCACACGAAAACGTGCTTTTGGTGTGTGTAGGTGATTGGTCGGCGTGCGCAGTTCGTGGTACCCTAGGTGAATATGTGATTTGCAATACGCATTAAATATATTGATGTGTGTATAGGAAGCTATTCTGTATGTGTTTTTAAGCTTTGTTATGTATGCCGGTTGGGATTTTGTGTGTGCTTGTGTGTTGGGCGACTACCTAATAACCAATATCCCAAAATTGAAACTCCGTTTTTATCCCTTTTTATTTTATTTAACTACTAGATGTTAACTTAAAACGCGTTTAACTTGTAGCATACATCATTCGAGACATATCGCACGTAAAACTTAAATTTAAAAATGAAATTTAAAATATAATATTACTGATAAATGTAAAAAATTGTTCCATTTTAATAAGTCAATAACGACATGTATAATTCACAAAAAGACACTTGATAATTATCGTGATAGATCGAAATGTGTGATGGGATGAAAATAAAATAATCGATTATTAAACATTTTAATATCGGTTTATGATCAATTGCTTTCTTGCCGGCTCCTAAGTATTCATTTGAGACATGATACATAACAGAATGCAGAAAAGACATTCTTTTAACTTGGGTAAAGTCTAAAGTGTGCTGCTTCGGAACTAAAACTTTAATTTTGAAATCGGACTTATGAGGCTCTACTTTTCGGAAGATATCCTATATCTTTTTATCTTCCGGACATAGTCTACAGACGGACAAATGCGAAACGCCAATAATAAAAAAATCTCAGAAATATGTCATCACTTTTTGAGAAACGTGAATAAGAGCTTGGCCTGGTACAACATAAGCATGCGGCCCCTGGTTTTGCTAACATTTAGTGCACAGTGGCACACCTAGTTGATTTGCCTTGTGTGTGATGTCGTCCCAGGCGTCAGTTGCACCGCTCCCTTGCGAACGATATAACCAGCGTGACGGATTGGTTCAGTTTGTGAAGTAGTAGGGCAGAGATGCAGAACCGTTGCCACCGGCGATTGCAGGTGTTTTCAGTATTACACATGAAGTAATAGCAGAAACAGATTTTACGAAAAAGAAGTACAGCTGCCCTGAACTGTTGAAATACGACGGTAAGTCAATAAGTAAGTTACAGATGGATATAGAACTTAAACGAATAAGAGTACTGATTTGAAAAATGCTTTTATTTCTCAACATAATCTCCCTGTATATTGAGGCACTCGTCTCATCGTTTCAGAAGCCCCTGAAAACCAGCAGTATAAAATTTTTTGGGCTGCTCTCGGAACCAGGCGTGTTCATACGGCGTGGCCTGCTTCATAATGCATGACAGGTTAGGTTTTCACAAACTCTGTGCTCGAAGGGTGCCGCGCATGCTGACCCCACAACACAAAATGCAAAGAATGGGTCTGGCATTACAGCATCTCAATCGCTACCACGATGAAGGACACGATATGCTAGCCCGAATTGTCACAGGTGATGAGTTTTGGGTTCACCATTACCAGCCCGAGACAAAGCTTGCGTTAATGCAGTGGAAACATCCTGTGTCGCCTGCCAAAAGAAAAGTTTAAGGTGACACCAACCTCCAGGAAAGTGATGCTCACCGTCTTCTGGGATCACGAAGGCATACTGCTCACCGCATTCCAGCCTCAAGGACAATCCGTAAATGCTAACTCCTACTGTAACATCCTCAGGAAACGTAGAAGGCCATTCAACGGAAGCGACCAGGACTCCTCACCAAAAGCGTGTTGCTCTTGCATGACAACGCGCGTCCCCATACTGACAACAAGACAAATGAGACACTGCGAAATTTCAAGTGGGAAGTCCTCGAGTATCTTCCGTATAGCCCCGACCTTGCTCCAAGCGACTTCCAGTTGTTCGGCCCTCTTAAACATCATCTTTCGGCTGAACATTTTCCCGACGATGGAGCTGTAGAAAGTGAAGTCACCGCCTGGTTCCGACAGCAGCCCAAAGAATTTTATGCTGCTGGTTTTCAGGGGCTTGTGAAACGATGGGACAAATGCCTCAATGTACAGAAATAAAAGCATTTTTCAAATTAGTACTCTTATTCGTTTAAGTTCTATATCCATTTGTAACTTACTTATTGACTTACCTACGTATCAAGTGATTTCAAACATTGTTGTGTTATCTACTCGTAAAACGCCTTAAGTTTCTGTTGTCACGAGACAGTGACTCAGATACTTACACCATTAAAAACATTAATAAATTTTATTTTCAACGTAAGATTGTCACATTATATCTGAGATCTCATTGAACAAACCCCTTCCGTAAGGTGTGACGTAACCTCATATAAGTTTAAGACAGCGACTGAGAGCTGGGGTCATTTGATAATGGAAGCCGTAGTCCCTTTTCGTAAAATGTTTTTACTCTTATGTCTGCACCCTGAATATCATTAAGGATGAAAATTCACTCACTCACGGAGCTGAGCCCTTCTTGAGAAGCCGCCAGTTAGGCAGCTATTCAAGAACTTCCCAGCATTTTATAGAACTGGTGCGTGCTATCAGCCCCGTTCAGCCAACGAGGTCGGCCCTCGGTACCCGATGCTTCCCCCATCTACCAGAGGCATTGGAAACTACTTGGGCGGGAAACTTTTTGCCTAATTTTGCTCAGAGGTCTTGTTCTAGGTATAGATAGAGGCCTTGCGACAGGCTGATCCCCGTCCAAGATGTCCTACCGACTGTGTATATAATTAAGAAAGTGAAAAGCGGCCAAGGCCTAACAAAGGACTATAGAGCTATAGATAAATAACAAAATCACAGCATCTGCTGTCTCATTATACGCATGAGGTGCTACTGCAGCAACTAGAATGGCTGTCACAATTTCTTATCGGTAACTTTTTTATGTAAATTTGGCATCAGGCAGCGACAACTTTTTGCCATTCGTCCTGCTGTAGGGTGGTCCCCTGTGAGGCCCCGCTCACAAGATACGTACTCCCCCCCCCACTATATAAGAAAACTTATGCAGTATAAAATGGAAATCAATGTCTTGTGATCTGCTAGGTTGTGGCACCTTGTCTTATGGGTGACAGCCGAGTTCTGGAAAACCTGACGCCTGCTCTTACCTGAGAGGAGGAGGTAAGAGGTTCGTTAGAAATATGTCTACCAGACTACACGGTGTTATAATCCAGCAGATCACAACAAAATTTTCACAGCCGAGAGAACCGGAAATCTCATATTGCACCTGCTGTTTCATCTATGACTTGGTCTGGTCAATTATTATTCATCGTGTAGTAAGAATCTGTTCCTTGCAGCTGGTGGTACTTGCTTCGCTGAAAACATCGACTGAATACAAAACATTTTTCGTCTGTTTCTTGAGTTCCATTTTCTCCTTGAAAGTCAGTTGATTTATTTGGCTTGTTCCTAAATTTTTATACAATAGATATAGGATTTTCTGTAGCGTAGAGTTCTTATTCTGCTCTTCTTATGGTGAATATGTCACAGTTGTCTAATATTTTGCTGATTTGTCTACGTACACACCTTTTTTTTTTCATTTGATGCTGAAGCCCCAATTTTGGCCTTGGCCTACCTCCGAGAAACTCTCCGTTTCATTTCGGACGTGTATATAAGTAGACACTGCTCTTAAAGAAAATTTCCTACGTTTCTCTTCTGTTCCTTTGGACTGTTCGTGTCGAGACTTCACGTGCCATGCAGCCCTCAAACGCACTTCGGGTCAGCTATGAAAATCTCTCATCAATTGAGTCCTCACTTGAGAATTTCACACTTCCGTTTATTTAGTGATTTGTATGGCATTGTTTTCTTCCTCGTATAATTTGGAGCTAAAATACATCCTTGGTTTTCATTAAACATACATAGCAGATATAACCAGATGACAAAAATTTGAAGTTCAAATAATTTTAAGGAACATTGCTGGAGAGTTGAGTAGTGTTAGAAGGTATCTGATATTTTTGCAACAGTTATTACATATAAATTAACCCACTCCGCGCCTGTCAAATACTTTGAAATCATAACGTCTGTCAGCAGTACACTTTGGCCTTGCTGTACAATACTTAGTAGCTACCGATTAGCACTACAAGTATAAAACGGAGCAAAATTCACGAAGGTTTAAGAAATCAATCTAAAATTGTTTGTAACTTTTACTGTATTTCCCAATCATAGACATATATCTACTTATTTGAGATAAGAAATGAAGTTCCAACTTTTCTTCGACCTCTGAACTTGTCTTTAGAATTATGTAGCCATGTGAACTGCGTCTTTGATTGTTGAAAGAAATTAACGTTGCTGAGAGACGAATGCCTCTGTGGTCTAGTGGTCAGCGTTCCTGGCTACAGATCCGGAGGTCCGGGTTTGACTCCCGGCGCTACCAGATTTTTTCTGAGAAGTAGTGAGTCTGGAACGGGGTGCACTCAGTCTCGTGATGATAATTGAGGAGCTATTTCAAGGAAATAGCGGCTCCGGTCTAGCAAACCGAGATTAACGGCCGTGGGGATCCGTTGCGCTGACCACGCGAAACCCTCTATCCGCAAAAGTTGGCACTAAACTTCGCTACAATAGCGGTCACTCGGTCGGTATAACTCGCTTGCGGACTAAAATCACGGAGTTTGTTTTTGTTTTTGTTTTTGTTGAGAGATGAATGCGATGCTACACTGACCAGTGAGTGCACGACCCCGCTTCACGTGACGATGTCTTGTTGCAGTGACAAATGCCTGAACCAGTACAAAATGAACATCTTCTGCAAGGAGACCCAGGCACACCTACAAATGCACCCGCATCTGCAGGACGGGGCCGGAGGCGGGGGCGGCAGCTCGGGAGGCGGCCTCATAACTCCGGAATTGTGGCTCAGGGATTGCAGGTCCGACTCTCCTTCATCGGACCGGTCCTTGTCTCCACCTACCAGCTCGATAGCTGCCCCCACAGTGCAGCCCCGAAGCGTGAACAGCCCCCCACTGCCCGCACCACCCCCACCGCCACCAGACAAGCTGATCGCAGAGCACAAGGACGCCCCGGGAAAGCTGCGACGGGCTGGACGTCTCGGCAGGCGAGGGAACCGGACACCTGTCACCGCCACCGTGACGTCAGTATCTACGTCAGACCTGAGGACCACTTCCTCGTCTTCTCCTCGCAGTGCAGGCAGCGTGTCGCCTCCGAAACAAAATCACCTGCCACATCTCCACCCACTACCCCCTCCTTCCTCTCAGATACCTCCTATCCTCCACCCTCCTCCCCACCTTCTGCCTCCAGACCACCACCTACCAAGACACGCTCCGCCACCGTTCCTGCCCCCGGGTATGTTGCCCCCTCCTCATCTATTTCCAGACCCACACCAACACCCTCACCTCAACCCAGCTCGCTTTCCAACCGCCGTCCTCCGTCCTCCACCACGAACCTCCTCAACTTCACCTCCACCCCTTCATCCACCGCCACTCCTTCCTATGCCTCACTTACAACCTCGGCCTCCACGGGGGCCACCTCTACATCCCACACCGCAGCCCCCTTCCCGTTTCCTGCTGCCTCCGGTGACGGTGATGGTCCCTTACCCCATAGTGATCCCCATTCCTATCCCCATCCCCATACCCATCCCGCTGTTCCCCCCCAAGAACAGCAAGACATGCCCGGAGAGCGTCAGTACCACGGCAACGGCCGTCACGACGTCACCAGTGGTGGTGCAGAGTCGCCGCAAAGAGCAGTCTGCCGAGCCACCTGCACCTTCCGCTAGTCCGCCCCCTGCGGCACAGTCCCTACTGGACCCGAAGCCGAAACCTGCGTTAACCCCGACAAGACCTTCCGTTTCTGACCGCCCTCTGAGGAAACGCAAGAGGCTGGATGTGGCGGCCGAAGAAGAGAGCCTGGGAAAGCGGAAATTTGTCCCGGTGTGATCATGTCCTTAAGTCCTTCCTGTTTCAGTTGTTTTGTGTGTGTGACAGCGTCGGGTCCAGTCGGTGTATAGAAAGGATCAGAAAATACACAAGAGTTATCATCTGTAGCTTCTGGTTCTTGTGATCTTGCCGGGAGTGGGTAAACGTGAGAACGGGCCATGGAAACTAGCACAAAAATCAGAGATGCTACAGTTACATGACGTTTTGTAGAGATCTCAAAATCAAATATTTGGATGTTTAACGTGGTCTGTATTGGCAATGAGCCCATGAGGTCCGGAAACAATAGTTTACTCACTCCTGTAATTTAACCCCCGCCTCCAAAGTTTCCCAGCTGGTACGGCGCATTCCACTGGTGAGGCCCGACGGTTCGCTGAGTGGGACGAGAAGCTCCTTCCATCAGTAATTAATATAATAGTAAATGTTCGCATGATAATTATAAAAATACGCTTCTTAGGAGACAAAGAAATTGCATTTTTTTTTTTTTGCTTTAGTCAAACTAGAGCTTTTTACAAAATTTCAGTTTAGACGTAAGACGTCAGAAGCTGAGAATCATTGCCCTATTCCAAAGGTACTTCGAAACATGTCCTCTTCCATAGATCTGTCTGATTTCATGTTAATTTCGCCACTAAGTTAAGGTTTTTGAATATGGAGAATATTTTTTCCCGTGGTCCATGACGTGCATTCCCCCTCGACATTTCCGGGAGGGACAGATTCAAAAGTTGATGATGAAGACGAGAACTTAATATTGTAACTAAATACTTGCAGTATATTTAGGTTTACAATTTGAACTTCTTATGGATTAATAAGTGAGGTGGGCAGGGCATGTAGCACGAATGAGGGAGAAGAGGAATGCGTATAGAATATTGGTGGGAAAGCCAGAAGGAAAGAGACCACTGGGAAGACAAAGGTGTAGGTGAGTGAACAGTATTAAAATGGATCTTAGAGAGATAAAATGGGATGGTATGGATTGGATTGATCTGGCTCAGGATAGGGACCAGTGGAAGGCTGTTGTGAACACGGTAATGAACCTTCGGGTTCCATAAAATGCTGTGAAATTCTTGAGTAGCTGCATATTTGGCGGCTCCTCAAGAAGGGCTAAGCTCCATAAGTAAGTAAGTACGGAGACATGACGTAACAAAGAACGTACTGGAGAAAAGTATACTTTACGGAACCTTCAAGTAAACGCCCTTTGCCTCTCATTCTTAGGATAATTAAGTAATGAAAGGATTGACCAGAAAATGATATGTAAGAGGCATGGGAAGAAATTAGAAATTCTTGTAGCATTTTGGTAGGAAAACCTTAAGGAAATAGGCCAATTAAGAGACCTAAGCATAGATGGAAGAATAATAATAATAAAAGGAATACCAGAGAAATGAATTGTGAAGGTGTGGGTCCACTAACGTGCCGATAGGGACCGACTTCGGATTGTGTTATCACCATGAGCATTCGATTTGAATAAAGGCAGTCGATTTATGGAACTTTGGTCATTCCTTCGTTATGCAGGGCCCGAACTTCAGTTAACCGGCTCTCGGTGTCATTACTGAGTTACGGACACATTTCACGAAGTAAGTCACGTGCCTTTAGTCACGCAGCACATGTAATTTATCTACTATCATAAGAAAACGACGTTCTACTGCTAATGTCTTATTATTACTCATAGAGCTGAGCCCTTCTTGATGAGCCGCCAATTCTGCAGATACTCAAGAATTTCCCAAAATTTTATGGAACCCCCAAGGTTCATTACCGTGTTCACAAGAGCTCTCCACTGGTCCCAATCCAATCCATACGATCCCATCCTACCATTTATCCAGAGGATCAGGCCAGGTCCGAGCCTTTTTTAACATTTTCGTAACAAGGATGATGTCTAAACACTTAAAACTTCTAGACAATAACATGGGATATATGGCGACAATGAAAGGGTAGGAGCTGTTAAGTGATTAGTGATAAGTGAAGGTTGGAGGTGTGAGGAACGCCCTCCAATAACGACGTCGTAATGTTCAAGAGGGCGTAGTCAGACGCAACGCACCGGTATCTGCCCCCCCCACCACCACCACCAATCAACTGAGTCTACATTTCAACATTATCCTTGCAGTTAGCCCCTGTTTACAGGAGCCTTTTGACAGCGCGTGTTAAAAGTAGCGCAATGCACAATCCCATCCGCGTGCATATTCCTTAAGAGTCATTTAAGCGTTTGGCAGAGACATCTTTTTAACTGAGCTAATGGACAGTTTACGTGGAGACTGTTCCAGTTAAATCACTTGGCTGCTTCTTGCTCCCGTCGGATTTCTTTGCTTACAGTTTCGCACCCGGAAATAAGAACGACAGTCGCCTCTCTACGCGTTCCTTTGTACGCCCGTGGGAAGTCCTGAAGATCGAGCCCGCCAAATCCCGTCCCGCGCAAACCCCGAGTAAGGTAAAGGTAAAGTTGTCCCTGGGCTTAACTAATTCAGCACTGCATTATGAAGGCGTATGGGGGAGTGGTTGTATAGATCCATATTTTCTTTACCTCGGCACTAGTTGAAGGTGAGTGGTCACCTTAACGCTTCCGGCCGCTTTACCCCCGGGGAAAGACCCCCGTTGCCCATTGGATAGGAAAAGAATTAAAGCCACAAACCTGAAGGAAGTGATGAGTATTTAAATCAGAAATGTAGGATATGTCAAAAAAATGGATTAGTCGAATACGAAGTTCTGGGATGTGACGACATTTTGTCCGGTAAAATTTGGCCGACATTTCGGAGCAACTTCAGTAAATGTTTACCAGACTGCATGACGTCATAATCATCGTAAGAATTTTATATCCTACATAGGTTGGCAGTTAGCCGCGCCATATCTCAAGCGGTTAGTCGCTGGCTTCTCACCGCGGCGGGCCGGGTTCGATCCCGGGTCTGGTCAAGTGGGATTTGTGGTGGACAAAGTGGCGCTGGGGCAGGTTTTCTCCGAGTACTTCGGTTTCCCCTGCCAATCTTCATTCCACCAATTGCTCCACAATCACCCTCACCTATCATCTGGGGCTGGTACAATAGGCCAGAAGTGGCCGCAGTACAAGGGACTTAGTCCCACCCCACTAGCAATAAAAAAATAGGTTGGCAGTTTAAAAGACATTTCACCCCAGAGCTTTCATTTGGCTTGGTTCTGTAACATTATTGTATATTAATCAATTTTGTGCAATTATTTCGGACATTAGCCTAGCACTACTATTATAATTCGGTATGAAAGAGCTCTCCTAGACTGTATCCATGCAAGTTCCCAGATCAGAGCTGAAAATCCTAAATTAAGACAGTGACTGTGATAATGTGCTGCCTGCTGAGGACCGTTACACAACTTAACGGACGGTGACGTATAAATATGGAACAATTCTGGAATGATGATTTTCGTGGGAAATCCCCCCCCCCAAAAAACTGGGAAAAAGCCTGCTTGAGTGCTACTTTGTCCACCGATAATTTCACGTGAAGTCTCTCAGGAATGAACCCAGGCCTCCGAAGTAAGAAACCAGGGTCTAACCCTCTGAGCTAGGGCACAGTCTCTCTTCTTCATACTTCCAGTATTATAGCTATCAATGCTTGATTAAAACATGGATACAGGCGCCTGGAGGTGAGGGCGCCCGCCACTGGTATAGAATAAATCACCGTACATTGTTCCCTCCTTAATGACTGTTTGTGGCCGCGATGACGTGAGACCGAACGAAATGGCCACTTTCCTGTGTATTTATGATCTAAACACAAAAATATGCGTTCGTACATAAAGGAATCATCTTCCTTGGCCCTCTTTCTAAATTGAGGCAACAAGACGTGGCTTATACGGGAGCGGCGATTCGAGAGAGTAAAAAATCAATCTGTGTATATTCCTTGATTGATGTGTAGCAACATTCAAATTAAAGCGTGTTTGTACACATTTAACTGTAGGTCACAAAGAGCGGGGTTATTAATAAATTATGGTTGATATAACAACGCTATCAGTAACCTAGAATATGTAGCGTCTCATTGTGGCATGATTAATGAATAATACATGGGAAAACATTTGAAAGGAAGTGGTCGTGGTCTGTTATGAGGGACTGAGGAACCACAGCCAGGATAGCCGGAGTCAAGTCCAAGATTCGAACCAGCTACCTCCCGAAAAACGAGTCAGAATCGTTATCATTTCAACCGACTTGTTCAATGCGATGTCGTTATCAAAGGATTGCTTTCAGTGAGCTTCTTGCTGGCGCGGACTTGCGCAGACCTTCCTCCTCATCAAGTCAAGCCGACCCATAAGTAGTTCACTTCACGGTTGCGCTGTGCAGAAAACCGACTCGAGTGATCTATAGAATAATCTATCAGAACCATTTGAACATCAGTGCCTGAGGTAAGGAGATGCCTTGTCGTGTATTTTATTTAACATAAAGGTAAAAAACATAAAGCTGTTCTTGTAACAGGCCGTGAATGCCCATAGGGGTGTGAGACGTCGAGGCTCCCACATTTTCTCTCGACAGTCAGCTCACAGATGGCGGTAAGGTTGTCAGCCTTACGCGCCTGGCGCCCTTTGCCTCCCAGGAAAATCCCTGGTACTAATTTTTTTAGAGGCTGAGTCGACCCCAGGGCCATAGTGCGGCTGGAAGGATTAGGTAAATTGAAAAAAATTCAATGACATCGGAAATCGAACCCGCGATCTTCCGGCTTGCAGCATAGTGCCTCAATCAACTACGCTACCGCGTGCCCCCTCACCCGTCAGAAAGGAGAGAGAAAAATCACGAAACACTTCAGTTAGGGNAGTCGTTTAAGTGTGTTTTTAGTTGAAGAAAGTCGTCTTCTGGGTTTTGACACCGTGTATTCTTCGGACGTTTCTGAGGAAGGTCCGAAGAATACACGGCGCCAAAACCCAGAAGACGACTTTCTTCATAGTCATCGCCGTAAAAACCTCAAAACTTACATGTGTTTTTAGTTGCTTAAAACAATTTTAACTGTTATCAATACATATTTATCCTTTTTAAAATTATTTTCTAAAACCATAGGGCGTAGATGCTTAGTTTGGCCCACCCTGTCAGCGTCTATGTGTAGGATATAATGATGAACTTTTGCGAACAAGACGATGAACCTAGGATTTTCTAAAGAGGGAGCTTGAATTTTTGACC